TTATTAAGGTCATGTATTAAACGTTGCCGATGATTTTCAAAATTTTACCTACGCAATAAATAAAATACCCATCGCAATTTATTTTAATCATTATTTCTGATGATGTATTTTTAAATAACTAAGCTAGCTAATGTTTTTAATGGTACGATTCAACGAATGACCGCTTAAACTGCTCTTCTGTAATTTTGGATATTTATATATTCAAACATATTCAATATTTATTACCATAATAAAAGAAATAAAACTAACTACTTAAATTATTATCATAGAGTCCTACTCCTTGCGGTATAGTACCAAGAACGCTAGCTGCGTTTCTTTGCTGAATAATAGCTATACTTAGCCTTTGAGCGAGAAAAGATCCAGCCCTCTTATCACTAGCGGCGGCGACTAGTCACGTACAGTTCCATACTCATAGTAAGATTCCTACTTCTTTTTAAATAATATAGTTTATTTATTTTTTAAATCAAATATTCAGGCCAATTGAGCGTCATGTAACTTTCACAATATTTTACTCCGCCATATCATTATACACGATTTAAAATAATATTTTTTATATAAGACAACAAAATAGAGGAAACCTCAACGAAATGTAACTTGTTGTTCTTCTTTGTCGTTGTAGTCTGTAAGTTATATGCGAAATAATATAGCGCGACAGTCGGTTCGCGTGGAATTGTCTTGGGGAATTGTTATCTATTTGTTTATTTATGCTTATAAAATGGCGTGTACTACATTTTGTTGGTGGATCAAGAATTTTTATTATTCAAAGTTCAAACGCCAATTTAAAATTTTCCGCCTCTCTTCACTACATTGTGGAAAGAAAAGAGGAATTCCGCACTCTCATTTCTGAGAGTGTTCAGAGAAGAGAGAGGTCCGCCGCACTGCCCCTATGTAAGAGAGACAACATTCATAATCAAGCTTGTAAACTCCTGCATCTTGCAGACGGACATTACACTTGACTAATGGTAAAAACTGACTAATCTTCTTCGGCGACTTAAAGCATGTTTTAATGGAATCATACTTCAAGTTGTGGCCAATCTTGTCAATGACACATTTGACATGTTTTTTTATAGAATAATGGTGACAAGCGAGCACATAGTCCACCTGATGGTAAGTGACTGCTGTGGCCCATAGATATCTACATCTATTCTCGTCTGAGAATCAAAATGCAGATGCATTGTCAACCGTGAGGACTAAAATGGAATGCCTCTTTTCCAGTAAAAAGGTTCTCCGGTTCTCTACACTTACCATACAAAACATGGCAGCATGAAGCTGCTATTTTACGCTGGAATTCTGTGAGAGCTTGAACCTTCCCCGGTCGAGCCGACCCATTCGTGCTACAACTATACAATTAATATAGCTGCAGGATGACTCTACCACGTAAATAATTGCTCCTGAACATATGAAAAGGAAAAGGTTGACACTACACCTGACTGTAAATCGAGCCTTGAATAAGCACAAATACTGTTTAATATCTGCACGGTCTTTTAAAACCGTTTTAATGTTAATTCCTTTATCAATGAACACTCTGCATATATAAAGAAAAATTCCATTTGAATTTAAACGAAAATTTCATGATTACCAACGAATTCCGTTGTGTTGAAATATTGCGCCAGCAACGTATAGAGTTATGATTCCTAGTCATCCTACTACACGTTCGTGTGACAGGGAGACAGGTAATCAAATATGCTCACAGGGATATATAAATCGGACGACATACATACTGCAGATAGCTGATATTTTTAACATAGATGAATTACATAGTCATTGGTCACATGTGTAATGATATTATATTATATTCAATTTCGACTCGTAGTATTCAGATATGTACATTTTTGTTATTGATAAATGGTTTAAGTCCAATGCCAGATGCAAAATGTACAATAAGAATAAAAGAAAATAACACGCATTACCTATATATGTGACTGAGATGATCATAGTGAAAATAACAGCTATTAAAGAATACCGTTGCCGTTTTAGTGAAGCGTTTTAATGGAGCGGGGTGATTAAAACTTTATAACATTCTAAATTCCAAAAAATATGACAATCTATTGTTTGACTTTCCCTTGTTTTTAAATTCAGTATTTGAGTTAAATTATGAAGACTTAAATATTAGAGTAATTTTCGAACACGAATTCAGACACGTGATATACATATAAATAATAGCAGATGTCAATTGCTTGAGATGCAGTCTTCAACAGGTAAGCGCCTTTAAATTTTTAATAGCAATAAAATTTATAAAACTTGAAAATCATTTTATTAATAAGCTACGCGTACTATGCTATTGATATGGAATAGGAAACCGGTTGATGTAATACCGAAGCTAATAAAAAAACTCGGTCTCGATACATCAATTTTTTCGGGACTTATCGTGATCACATACAAAATCAATATCCGGACGTCCACGTCAAAATTTTTTCAAACCGTTTCTTTTTTTCAAAGTAGCAATATAAAATGACTTTTTAGAAAATATAAGATGGATTAATTAGTGTTTTCTAGATACACGACTGCTCATATAAGTGCAATATGGTTATGATAAAGACATTTTAAGACCACAAAATTGCTTGACCTTGACGTGTACCGAGAATAATTCAATACCTAATAACGCTTCGCGTTGTGAGGCGTACAATAAACTTATACTTATTATGCGCCAGTTGCATCGCAGACGCATGTCTCTTTTCTTTGAAATCTTTTTATTTGCAAGCTGGTGCTTTTCATGTAGTCGGATATAAATTTGATCAACATCTGACCAGTAGTTTTTGAGTTATCCTTAATAATGCGTATTTAATTGACTTCGACTACATTCATGACGTTCTCATTTTATTTATATAGAAGTCGATTGTATTAAAAATTTTAATTTCACCACTTGTTTATTTTTAAGTGAAAAAACAATACCTACCTTCATAAGTTTCTGCAATAAATACTACATCGAAATAGTTCACATTTGCCATATCTGTGAGCAGTAGCAATAAATTATAAATTATTCTTGGAATTAAGCATTTTTTGTGTTTATATGCTGTAATCTTGTGGTTGCAGCATAAGAGGTCCATCACCCCTGTCAACCTATAGATATCGTAAAAGGCAATTAAGGGAAATGCTGGTACAATGTTATAGGTACAGAACAAACGAAAAGAAAATAGAATGAAATATATATATATATATGATATAATGATTTCTTATACTTACGCGAAGACTACACATTAAATGAAACTAATTTTTACCATCTGACAAATTAACTGCATTTTTAGATCACCTTAATTCTATAAACTCTAAAATACAATTCACAATGGAGGCAAACAATTCTTTAGCTTTCCTACATGTTTTAATCATCCAAAGTCCTGATAACACTATTGGTCACACTGTGTATATGAAAAAGACCCATACCAACCGATATTTAAATGGTGAATTGCACCATCATCCATCACAGTTAGTTACTCTTTGTTTCAGAGAGCACGAGGGATCGGTGACAGAAAACATCTGGCTGTCCAGCTTCAGCCCGTCGAACAAGGCGAAGTCGCGGGAAACAGCTAGTAATTAATAAAATTAAATCCAAACCCAAGCATACCACTGCAAGACTTTAAGATACTGTAAGCTCATTCTGCGTCGATCGGACCAAAAATTAATATTCAATATTGACTTCAATAAAAACTTTTAAGAATAACTCAAAAACTATTGGTCAGACCTTGATCAAATTTACATGGGACCACATGTGAAGCACCAGCTTCCAAGTAAAAAAAGACTCGTTGAAATAGGTTCTCCCAGTAAAAATTTATGAGGTAACACACAAAAAAGTGCCATACCAAAACTGAAGGTAGCTGGGCTAACGATGACATCGGGACGTCAAACACCTCAGTCCCCCCGTGACTTGACGTTTCGGGTGCTTTACAGTACAGCGTAAAGCACCCGAAACGTCGGGAATTAGAAAGTTAAATTAAACGCGATAAAATCCGTAAAAATTAGTTTAATATAAAATATATGATATCTCAACCTGGTAATACCAACTTAATAATTTGTGGGTAATACAATTATCACCAGCTTCACAAATTCTCACAAAGTCATGCTTTTAGCTAGTTATTTATATTTACTTATATTTAATATAGATATTCCCTTCTTCTAGGTATTCCCTTTGGTTAAAGGCTTTTCTGGGAATGTATCTGCTTAGGCTCCTGTCGTCAGTGGTGTAGCTAGGCGTGGGCGAAGTGGGATTAGTCCACGCTACGCCTCTGCCTGTCGTCATTGACTGTCTGCTGGCTCACGCTGCCGTTAAAATCTTCCAAAACTTCGCAATGTCGCATTAACATATCTGAAGAAGTTTTTAAATAAATTATTTTAGAGGACAATAATTTCTTATTACTTGATACTGTCAAAAGTAAAATATTACGAATCTATTACAAAGAAAAAAAAATTGTTTTGGTGGGAACTTCAGCGGCGGTGGATCGTTGCTACTATATTATTGTTTAAGTAATGATTTGAAATGGATTTTGATATATGTATAAAAGTGGTGCGATTTTATATATTAAATGTATGCGCATGTGAACTATTAGTTAATGTAAACGGTGAAGCGAGTGCTCCGGTGGCGCCTTGAGATACTATCGCTAACTGTCTACTAGCCCAAGTTGCCATCAAATTCTCCCAAAAGCTGCGTAATGTTGACACATCACACATTGTGAAGTAGTATATAAAGGATTATTATCACTTGATAGCTTGATACTGAGATAAATGAAGACATGGTATAAAGGACAAGCATCCAAGCCAAGAAATACAAAGAAAAAAGTTAAATATATAAATAACTACAGCTGCCGCTGACACTGACATTGACAGTATGATTGATATCTGATAGGCTAGTTTATTTCGCGTTTCCCGCATTTTTTCTAAAATCTGTCATGGTTGATATCTCGCTAATTCCTAATATTCAATTTTCATTTTAGTTCAACTTCAATCAGTCTATATCAGTAAAAAGTTAGAATAATCTGATTTGTTAACTTTAGTAAATAATTATTGAAATGTCTAAAGTAACATCCATGACGAATGCAGTTCGTGCAGTTAATAAAAGGCCTTTTAGAGTGTCTATAGAAGGGAATATTGGCTCAGGAAAATCAACTTGCATCAAATATTTTGATAAATATCACAACGTTGAAAAGCATGCTGTGAGTGTTTTTTTACTTTTAATTAATTCTTGATTAAGTTATATATAAATAATACAGTATCCAGATTTGTGTAGAACCAGCAACCATGATTTTGTTTGTGTATTTATTTATTAATTTAATCAGTTATTAATTAGATATATATCTATCAGCATCCATCGAGGTCTTACCAGGTCGTCACTCCATCTCCATCTCTCTATCAGTGGGGGGCCACCCTACACTTCACCTACTGGTATTCAATGGACCTTACTTTGTTGCATTGCTTGGAGGAGGCTTATATTCTGCAGTGGACTTGTGAAGGGCTGGAATGATGATGATATCTCTCTATATCATATCTATATCAGTAATCTAATCAGTTTTGTATTGATAAAATTGGTTTTGATAAATTTATTTTTCAAGATCAGTGTTCATATTCTGTATTCAATATTTTTTAAATAATCGGATTTCTTTATTTCTTTAGTATTAATCAGAAAGATTAATACTCTATCCAGCTAAATTGAGACTACAATAAAAAGATTATATTCACATTAATCTGCACAAGCAGTGTCCTACAAAGCAAAGAAAGTTAGTTTGATGAAAAGCAAACTATAATTTACAAACAAGTTTTAGAAGGTTTAGGGAATAATACTGGTCAATTAATTTTTGGACTAAAAAATTATTAATGGTATCTTTTCTACATTGAAGTATACTATCAGATATTGTTGAGATGGCATATTTAACAACCAGCTGCTATCATACTCCAATGGTTGCTGCAGCTAGGCTGCAATTGTAAAGGCAGCTAGGCTGCAATTGTAAATCTGTTAATACTCTATTGTTAAAAACCATTTTAGGAACCAATACAAGAGTGGAGAAATGTCAGTGGTCACAACCTACTGGGGCTTCTCTACAGTGATATGAACGAGTGGAGTTTTGCCTTCCAACATTATGTTCATCTCAGCCGACTGAAGATACAGACCAGCCCACCTTCAAATCCTGACATCACAGTTAAGATGTTTGAAAGGTATACTTGCCACTATAACATCTATTATTCACTTTATAATGTTCTGAAACTCTTGCTTAATACAGTTGAATAATATTTAAATTACCTACTGAAAATATATTTGCATAATGCTACTTTTTACAAGAAAAGCCATGTTGCAGAGTATAGTGGCTGCAGCAAGAATGGGTGCCACGTAAAACAACCATTGGTGTGACCATTAAAGTTAAAGTTACAGCCTATATACGTCCCACTGCTGGGCACAGGCGTCTTCTCATTTCTGAGAAGGTGCGACCATTCTACCTTATGATAAAATCTGTAAAATTAGTTTTATTAATTGTCTAGTGTTTGTGTTAATATAAGAAATCATTACATTTTAACACCAATTTTGCAAGTTGAGCCAAAATTAGCTTTATTATTTCAGATCAGTACAAAATAGTAGGCATTGCTTTGTGGAAAATGCCAAGAAACAGAACTTTCTTCAGGATTCTGAATATGAAGTTCTCGCCAAATGGTTTGATTACACTGAGAAGACACTTGACATCAGTTTAGATCTTATAGGTATTTTTTGGATATTTTTATGATAAATGAAATACAATCATTAAAACACGCGCAGACACACTTACAAACATAGACACACACACCCACACACAACACAACTAAACAACACGTTAAACATTACGAGGGCGGCACTGAAAATTTCGGGAATGAAGGAAGTGACACAACATTACTATTTAAAAATGTATTTATTGCTTTTCGAAGTATTCTCCGCGAAATTTGACACATTTTTCCATACGATGAAACCAATCATTGAAGCAACCATTCCATTCGGAAGTTGGGGTCTCCAAAATGGCCGTTTTGTAGGCTTCCACAGGTTTTTCATGTGATGAAAATCTCTGTCCACGCAATTAATTCTTTATTTTAGGGAAAGTATAGAAATCATTAGGGTTTAGGTCGGGGCTGTACGGCGGATGGTCTAATAATTCTATGTTTTCTTGCTCTAAAAACTCTTTTGTTCTGTGTGCGGTGTGAGAACTCGCATTGTCGTGATGGAGGATGATGGAGCGGTTGCAGTTCTCTTTACGGAGTTCAGAAACGATCTGTGGCAAACAAATGCTAGCATACCATTCTGCATTAACCGTTCTTTGTCCCTCAAGAGGAATAGTCGTAATATGGCTGGTTTTGGAGACAAACGTGGCCACCATTTTTTTTGCAACACTCCGTGAACGAACAATTCTTGTTGGCTTTAACTCATTTTCGAACACCCAAACTCGTGACTGGTTTTTTGTTTCGGGTTCGTACGCATATATATATATCCAGGATTCGTCACCTAATACGATGTTGTAAACAGCATTTGAGGATCCTGCGTGGAATCTTTCGAGAGTTCTGAGGCACCAAGTAACGCGAGCCGCTTTTTGCTCTTCACAGAGCGAATGCGGTATCCATCGGGAAAACAACTTTTTTACACCTAATTGTTCATGCAAGATTATTTGTATTTGACTCATGCCAATGTCTAAAGTTGCCTGAATTTCGCGATATGTCACATGTCGATCTTCCTCAATCAGCTTACGCACAACATCAACGTTTTCTTGGGTGACTGCAGGTTTTGGACGACCTTGACGGGGATCATCACTGAGCTTGACACGTCCACGTTGAAATTCAGCAAACCAGCGATAAATTGTGGCTTTAGATGGGGCTTCATCACCAAATGTAGAAATCATCCGGTCAACACACTGTTTTTGTGTTAAACCACTTCGAAAGTCATAATAAATCATCGCTCTTGAATTTTCTCGAGTCAATTCCATTTTCTCTTCGACTAAACAAGTTTCATAAAACCTTGTGACAAGACCGAGAAGCTTTGTTTAAATAAATAAATGGTATTCGATTTTTAAAACTAAGGACTATTCAATTAAAAAGATTTTAATATGACAGGAACAGTGGAAATATTCTATTCCCGATACTTTTAGTGCAGCCCTCATACCTTGCAGTAACCGCCATAAAATAATACTAATTAAGGAATAATGAATCATCTTATGTACTTACCGAATATAGACTTAGCACTAAGAATTAGGGAAGGCACTGTTTCCTGAGATACAGGTGATACCCTAGTTCAGGAGACAAAGCTCCTTTGTATCTAAAAAAATTGGTTGTTAATAAACATTATTTTATTATTATGCTCAACCAGATGAGAGACTTACCCCATCTATAAAGTTTCTCATCTGGTTGGGCAGTATAAGTATATAATTGTAAATGAAAGTGAAAAACATACATAAATATCAATAAAATAAATACATAAATACTAGCTGGCCAGGCAAACGTTGTTATGCCCATACCGACTACCCTTTGTCTTATTAAAAAATCCTTAAATTCGCAATAAAAACATATTTAGGTCACTCGTCGGGATAAAAACTATTCTATCTCTCAAGTTGGACTACTGCACACAGTGTGCAAAATTTCATAAAATCAGTTCAGTAGTATAAGAGTTCATCGCAGACAAACAATGTGACACGTAATTTTTATATATAAAGATATAAAAACCCAACCAGATGGAAGCCCTCGGCAGGGGAGACCAAACGGCCGAGGGTTAGAGGGAAGGGAAAGAAACCGGCGGACGGTGCGGGAGGTATTGAAGAGCACCGCCTTTTGCATTTGAGCTTGGAGCAGTCCGTCACGGAGTCCCAGTCGCCTCAGATGACCCGAGACGCTGACTGGGATTAACCCGTTTGCAAAAACGGCCACAATAATAATTTCGGTTGGCAGATCACCCCACATGTTGGTCACCTCGTGAGACAGGTCCAGATATTTTGTCAGTTTATCTGTTTCGGCTTTCACGAGGTTCTCGTCATAAGGAATGGTAATGTCGACCAAACATATCCTTGACTATGCCCGGTCCATCAGCACAATATCAGGCTATCAGGCTTATCCGCGAGAATAGTCCTGTCTGTGATGATGGCCCGGTCTCAGTAGAGCTTAGCGCAGTCATTTTCGACCACGGCTTCCGGCAAGTACTTATAATATGGCAGTTTACGATCCACGAGACCGTATCTCAGAGCGAGCTCCTGGTGTAGAATCCTGGCTACTAAGTTGTGTCTATGCAAATACTCGGAGTTAGAAAGCGCCGAACAACCGGAGATGACATGCCTAAGTAACTCACCGGGATGGCGACAAGCTCGACAAATGTCGACGGCGCCATCGTTTAGGATGTATTTCCGATAATTGTTGGTCTTTATAACCTGATCCTGTATCGCACAGACAAAACCCTCGGTTTCCCCAAAGAGGTCCCCAAAACGTAGCCAGTGGAGGGAGGCGACTGTGTCTACAAAAGGCTCATGTAGAGCCTTGTAGAACCTCCCGTGGTGCTCCTTCTCCTTCCATACGGTCTCCCGGTTGGAAATGCTCTGTACTGCCGGGTCTTGCCATTGCTCGTTGGCTAAGGATAGAGGGGTAAGTCCTTTATCACAAGAAATAACGTCCCTATAGAATAGAATAGAATAAATTTTTATTAAATATACATTACATGTGTAATTCTTATTGAAAGTCATGTTTTACTTTATCACTGGTTCGAAATATATATATATATATATAGAATGGATCATCCGCTCTCGTCAGAAAGTAATTACGGAGGCTCCACACTTCGCGGTTATGCATGGTAAGCGCTCTTAAAAAGCCGCGTCCACCATGCTTCAATTCGCGGCAAGTACAGCTTCATTACTGACGACCTCAGATGATGCATCCTGTGGGACGTCATAATAGTGCGGACTTTTCTATCCAGAGCGTTCAGTTCGGTCTGAATCCACCTGAGTATGCCAAATGTATACATGAGAACAGGCATGATCCAACCGTTATATGCATGTGTATTATTAACGCCCGACAAAAGACTGTTAAGCACTTTTGTCAAGCGTGCATAAAACACATCGCAAACCGACTGTTTCATTTCCGCCTCATCGATATCTATGTTCTGTGACATACCCAGGTATCGGTATGTTTCAGCCTCGGATAGGGTCTTTATGTTGATAGGCATAAATAAGTCTATGCCCTCAGAGTTAGCGACCCTACCCTTTTCGACGTGGAGGACCGCACACTTATCCGTCCCCAGCCCCATGCTAAGAGAATTGCTCAAATCACAAGTGATGTTTAGCAATTCCATAAGATGAAAGCGACTTTTTTTTTTAAAAACGTTACCCCCACTCTAGGATTTTCTCCTGTGTCGTGGAGGCAGTTTATAAGCATAAATTGCACAAGGACAAACATCCAGACCCGGAAGAATTATTTGTAGGCCATACAAATACTTGTTCCGTGCGGGATTCGAACCCGCGGCCCTCAGCGCAACAACTGATTGCTAAGCCACTGCGCCACGGAGCCGTCTGGACTGGAGACGAATAACGTGAGATCATCTTATTAGAAAAGGTGGGTCACTTTTGTACCTCCTTTCCGAAACTGAAATCCCCTCCCGGAACTCTCCAGTAAGGTACTGAGAGGGTTCAGAGAGAGGCAGAACCAGATTGGACTTAAACAATCGCCCTGGAAGATACCCCTTCTTATACTTATGTGGTTCTCCGCAGCCATCATCCGCTCGCCTAGATGACAAAGGATCGTACTCCACTGCCCCATACACTGCCCGAGGAAGTCTAGAACTGTACAGTCAATCTTGTACAGCTTGAGGACCCTCAAGCCATGTATGAGGCACCGAGTCGAATGCCTTTTTGTAGTCTATCCAGGCGGCGGAGAGGTTCCGACGGTTGCGTTTAACCACCTTGCCAATGACCGTGTCAATGAGGAGTGGTTCCTTGGTTCCACGACCACCGCCCCGACATCCATTTTGAGCGCGCGACTTCACCTGATTTGAGTTCAGGTGACGAGTGATTCTCGCACTCAAAATGGATGTTAGTGTCTTATATATGGTAGGTAGACTACACTTATGGGGCGGTATTTGCTCGGGTCTGTGGAATCCCGGTCTTTAGGAACGAAATGAGTGATCCCAGTAGTGAAGAGGCTCGGGAGTGACTTTTGGTCGAGAGCCTCTTGAAACTGTCGGGCGAGCACAGCGTGACACACCACGAACCCCTTCGCCAGTAGTGATGCAGTCCGTCGAGTCCCGGACTTTTCCAGTTCCAGGCCCTACGGACCGCCTCGGCTACGTCATCCGGTGTTATGAAGACTGGGTCCATGGGCGTAACATTCGCACACTGACTCGCCACAACATCCGTCCAAGGGTCATCGCTGTGGTTTACGGGCTCTGATCACAGGACACGCCAGAATGCGACAGTGTCGGCCTGATGCGGTGCTGGGCCCGTTCCACGTACCATTGGCCGCTCCAATGATTCATAGAGCCTCTTCTGATCACTCTGGAAGAGACGATTTTGGTTGAACCGTGTTGACCTCTCGGTATACCGCCGAATCCGCTTCCCCCAAGCAACGATTCTCTGCTTCAGGTCGTCTTTGCGCTCCGTCAGTTTTTGCGTTATATCCGGCTGGGACAAGCTGATATTTGTCCCAGCAAACGCCATCCTGACGGTGCGCACAATTCTCGGCCTATTATTGCCCGACCTGAAGCTTATCAGTCTGCCGATGAGGGTTCTTGCCTTTGCGATGCGGTCCTCAATCCTTCTTCTCCAGGCTGGGATAGCGCTACTTTACCTTGTAGCGCGTCCTGCCGTGGACGTTTTTTCGCCAATAATACGGCAAACTGCCAGTGCGACACCAAAAACAATTGAGTCCGTCTCGCAAATATCCCGGATGGCTTTCAAATAGGTCACCAGCATTCGGTTGAGAGCCCTCACGACGGCCCGACTGCGCTTGCTACTGGGTATATGGGTATGCGGAGAAGTCGCCGTCGATTTTCGAGAGGCGTACTGCGCGTTTCCAAAATAACCTCTTCCAATATGCTCCTCATTTGCTCTAGTTTGTGGCAGACTTTCATCATCGTCTGTATCTACTACAACTGGAATATCCGCGGCGGCATCCACGTGTGCAGGTTGCTCTGTAATTAGTGGTGTCGCATTACCAGCTGTAGCATTTTCATCCGATGAGGGAACAGCCTCACGTCGTAGTCGTTCGAGTTCGGCGTCACCAAATATGTTGGAGCGCAGGATGTACCGAACTCGGTCTGCCAGGTTTTCTTCTGTTACATGAACATTATTATAATTATATGATTGTGAGGTCAGTTAATCCCGTCCACCGTGCTATTTACGCGGAATTTTCTGATTTTAGTTCTTTAATCTATTTTAACTTTAATACATAAAAATGAGCCGCTACATCACGCCAAATGCCAGAAAAGTCTTATGGCTTCCGGTAGGTGGCGGTGTAACGTCTCGTTTACGCCAGACGTAAAATACCCAGGCCAGTGGAGGCAGCAGAATTATAAGTTGTGAAGTGTCAGGTACTACGATCATGAACTCTGTACAATTAGAGAGACTGCAGTGAATTTTTAGTCTCATGATGAAGTTATTCTTAGTTTATTAGTATAAAAACAGTATTCATAATTTTTTCTGTGTGGTTGCAATTGATTAGAAAATCAAATATTACTACTAGTTGTATATGTGACAACGTCCGGATGGCGTCAGAGGCGAAAGAGGGAAATAAACCATAAAGTGGGCGGCAGCATTTTCCTCATAACAAGTATAAAATGAAAAAAGGCTATGATTACCATACTTCCTGCCGAGCATAGCGACTGTGGCAAATATTTCTCTCATGAGGCAATCTATTGGGGGAGGTGTGTTCAGCAGTGGACTTTCGATAGGTTTTAACAGCAGTAACGGTATATGTGCATACTACATAAGCATACCACATTAGATCTACAGTGTAATTTATAGAGACCTGCATGTAAACCAATTTTAAGGATGTTTGGGAAGCACAACATCACTACGACAGAATGCAAGCTCATTCCAATATCTTGCTTGATTTAAAATAAGGCTTGTTCCAATCAATTACCTATTTCCGTAATCTTCACTTACTACTTATTACTACTTACCATCACCAATGCAAACTTATAACATTGGTAGCAAATGTTGACATACTTCTGCAACTGCTTTGTTTTAATTTTATTGTCCTCAAGTGTGACAACGCATCTGCATTGTTTCTTAATTGAGGGTAAATTTATATGTCTACGAGCCACAGCAGTGCTCGTTTGTCACCCCTATTCGATAAAAAAATGATATACCGTTATTGCAGTTTTAGAAAATTTGAGCAAATAAGGCTGTTACTTTTATTTGAAATTATAATTATTTATGGGCAATAATAATATATATGGGTAATAATGTATATGGCTACACATACGCGCGCTCCTGCGTGTGTGTGTGTGTGTGGTTTTTTTTTATATAGAAGAGGGGGCAAACGAGCATGCGGCTCACCTGATGGTAAGTGACTACCGCCGCCCATGAACAACCGCAACACCAGGGGAATTGCAGATGCGTTGCCGGCCTTTTAGAAAGGTGTAAGCTCTTTTCTTGAAGGTTCCTAAGTAGTATCGGTCCGGAAAATTCGCTGGTGGTAATTGATTCCACTAGGAAGTTGTGCGAGGGAGAAAACTTCTTCTAAATCGCATAGTGGTGGACCGCCAATCATCCAGATGGTATGGATGGTAACGCGAGTTTTGTCGCGATGTGCGATGGTGAAATTGAGCGGCTGGAATTAGTCCGAACAATTCCTCAGAGCACTCCCCGTGATAGATGCGATAAAATACGCAAAGAGATGCAACATCTCTACGCAGTGCCAATGTATCGAGCCGATCAAAAAGAACTCGGTCGTCGACGATTCGAACCGCTCTGCGCTGGATGCGGTCAAGTGGAAGGAGCTGGCACTGGGGTGCCCCGGCCCAGAGATGAGAACAGTATTCCATGTGGGACCGAACTTGCGCTTTGTAAAGTTGCAAGCGATGTGCCGGCATGAAATACTGTCTCGCTCTGCTGAGCACGCCAAACTTTTTAGAGGCCAATTTGGCCTTCCCTTCCAAGTGACCACGAAAGTGCACACTATTCGATATGTCGACGCCAAGGATTCCGATACTAGCTGAGGCAGCAAGGGGAGTGCCTTGAAACTGAGGAGATAAGACAGAGGGGTTCCTTTTAGCGGTAAACGCGCAAACTAGTGTCTTCTGGGAATTGAACTGGACAAGATTTTGTCGGGCCCAATCCGAGACTTTGTTAAGCAAAGACTCGACTTCAGACACAAGTTTATCCCGGTACTCAACGACGTTTTCCCGAGAAATATTGGCACGGCCGGTATATAAGGCATCACCAGTGCTGTCGTCTGCATAGCAATGAATGCTACCAGTTAGCAACATATCATTGATATGCAGGAGAAACAGCGTTGGTGATAGCACGCAGCCTTGTGGAAAACCAGCGTTGATAGGCTTGAAATCAGAGCATGCACCGTCTACTACGACCTTGATGCTCCGATCAGCAAGGAAACTGGTGATCCATTTGCACAATTTCTCGGGAAGCCCATAGGAAGGAAGCTTCGAAAGAAGCGATTCAATACAATTCCCTACTGTAACGGAAGGGAAGGGCACGGGAAGACGCGTCTAGGTACCTAAATTGGTAACCCAGCGACACTTACGAATGTGTGCGCGCGTTGTAAAATAGTAGGCTTTAGATGTTTATGAAAGGACAATCAGTTAAAGTAAATAATTACAACGCATTCTGAATTTAAATGATAAAAAGGTCAGAATGTTTGAGATTTTTTTCACCATTCGCCTATATTAATAATTCTGAACCTCCTCTGCAAATTTGGGCATACATTGCAAAATAACCCTGTATATAGATTGAGACTTGAAAATAGAATACTGTATTTTTTCGACTACTGCACGATGACTAGATAAATAAGACATTATCAACACTGATAACATAATAAAATGAAACTAATTGTCAAAACTTACTTAATCAAGCTTACCTATAATTTTTTTTTGTAAATAATATGAGGGTATTTTCTTTTACAGTATATTTAAGGACCACACCCCAAGTGGTATGGGAGCGCATGATGAAACGCGGCAGAGCTGAAGAATCTGAAGTTCCTTTGGATTATTTACAACAGGTTAGTATCATGAATTTGATTGAGTCTATGTATGTATATTACGATATTATCAATATCATACTTTTGTCTGAAAGGAGAGCGACATTATGAAAGAGTGAGATGGATAGACGCTGCCACCCACACTTCAATTTCAGATAATGTAATAAATATTTTTACAGGTCCATGACTCATATGAAAATTGGCTGAATTCTCCCGACGTAGGTTGCGAAGTGTTAACTATAGATGCTGACAGAAGTATAGACTGTGTTAAGGATGATTTAGAACGGTATTCTTACAAAATATTAGGCGGTAATCATACAAATTAAAAATATAATACTATTATAATTACTGGAATATTATTAATAGTAGAATTTTTTATTTGTTAAACTTTTAAACCTATATATAATCTACTCAACTGACAAGGTTATGATTTTCATAAACTGCATAACTTCATGACTATTTTTTTTTTATTCTACTGTTACACAGCTTGTGCGAAAAATCAAAGTAATTATTTAAAACATTTACTTTAATGAAATTATAATTGATTTGACAATATAATAATAAATAGATTAAGAAATAAAATAATAAACATTGCAATGTGTCATTATGGTATTCGTACCTGGCGCCTTGTATGAATAAAATAGTTCTGTTTCACTTTTATATTGACAAGTTATAAGTTATTTTCCCTTTTTGACGATTGAAAAATCGGCTGTAATTAAGATTAAAGTGTACATCCAACTAAAATTTAATATATATGTCATAATGTTATGTGCATAAATACTTTCGCAACAAACTGTATTAAATGAAATAGGTATAATAGAATAATTTTATAGATCAAAGACAAAATTGCCTTATAATGATAATTCATACAAGGTCCTATTTTTGTAAAAAGTAAAGTAAGGTAACAGCCTATATACGTCCCACTGCTGGGCACAGGCTCCTCATTTCTGAGAGGGTTTTTTAATATTTAGTTTTGCACAATTATTTTCCAAAAATGGTACTCAAATATTTTCAAGTAATAATACATTTTATTTTGGGTTTTTTTTTTGGATGTTTTGTTGGGATTTGTAAATATGTATATAAAAAGATGAGAAATAAGATTAAATATATGTTAAATATAAATTGAATAGAGATGAAATTAATAGTTAAATTATCTAGAGCCGTGGTAGTTCATGGGTTTTTAAGGCTGTAAATTTTGCACTACGTGAGCAACCCGGGTTTCATCCCCTCCGGTACCATGAAATTGTTAATTTCAATTTTATGTGCTGATTTACCACATGTTCGGCGGTGAAGAAAACATCGTGAGCAAACCTGCATGTCTGGAAGTTCGCTAACACGCCTTGGGGCAGCGTGCGACATATCCTTGCCCTAAAACCCTCCCAGAAATGACAGGAGTTCTGTGTCCAGCAGTGGGGCATATATAGGCTGTAACTTTATATGTTGAATATATGTGAGTATTTTTTTTATAGAAATAGTGTGACAGACGAGCACACAGTCCACCTGATGGTAAGTGGTTGCTGTGGCCCATATACATCTACATCTATCCTCGTTTGCGAATCAAAATGCAGATGCGTTGTCAGCCTTGAGGACTAAGATGGAATGTGCCTCTTTTCCAGTATAAAGGTTCTCTGGTTCTCTACATTCGCCATACGAAACACAGTAGCATTAAGCTGCTATTTTACGCTGATATTCTGAGAGCGTGGTCCTTCCCCGGTCGAGTCGACCCATTCGTGCTACTATATATATAGCTGCAGCTAGGCTCTACCACATACTAATATGCAATAAGCAATAATTATAGGAAATATAAAATAAAGTAAAATTATGTATTGTAATTATTATCACAATTTGATTACTGTTTTGTTATTAATAATAATAAAATTGTTATTGATAAAAATAAAATCATTCATCAAGTGTCAAATAATTTACCTGGTATATTTATAGATTTGTTGATATGATAAAATATATCAAATGAACTGAGTATGTTTAAATGTAATTAATAACTTATAAATTTGTTGTCTATAATAGTATTTTATATTCAAAGTAAATAAAAACAGATTTAAATGAAGACGAGTTTTTATTCATCACAAATAAAAATAATTTATTCTATACATCTAATTTTAAGGACTATTCAATAATAACAAATATTTAAGAAAACTTCTTTTTGTCGAAAAACTCGTTCAAAATAAATAAAAACATTAACAATCAAATGGATTGGATCTTAGCCAAATTAATTTATTAGAAAATAGTCCCTAAAACATTATTTACACTAGCAAAACAATGATACGGTTCAACGGTATAGGTGGTCTGCTCTGATGTTAGTGGCTATCTCACTCTCCCACTTGTCGCCATTTAAAAGCAATTTTTCCTTGTTATATAGAAGTTCTTCGTGAGTCTCTGTTGAAAACTCGAAGTTTGGGCCTTCAACTATAGCGTCGACTGGACATGCTTCCTGTGATTGAGACGAAAAATATAGCTTAAAATAATATTCATTCATTACAGCCCTTCACAAGTGCGCCGTTGAACATAGGCCTCCCCCAAAAAATGCCACAAAGCACAGTCCTGAGCCACCTGCATCCATCGACTTCCTGCATCTCTTACCAGGTCGTCACGCCATCTAGTTGGGGGCCGCCCTATACTTCGCCTACCGGCACGAGGCTGCTACCCAAGATTCTTTCTTCCCCATCAGTTGTCAGTTCTTCAAGCTATATTGCCACTTCAGCTTACTGTCATATACTCTGACAAGCCCAACTTAAAATAATATATAATTAATTATTTACTCTAACTCAATAAAGTCAAGTTTGTAATTTATGCCTTAGCAATATTAGATTTAATTAATAACAAATCAAATAGCTGATAAAATGTAGAGCCATGCAGTGGTGGCAGTTCACAAAACAACTGGCAAAATAACCAACTTGATCACCTGGGCTTTTATCACTTGAGAAAATCCTGCAGAAACGTGAGCTAACTAACAAATCTAAAGACCAAGTGGCTTAATAGTCAGACATTAAGGTTGCTTGTTATAATAAATGCAGGTGTCTATGGAACACAGTATCCACTTACCATCGGGTTGACTGTGTGCTTGTCATCTTATTTCCGTAAAAAGATAAGTGTAAACAGAAAATCTGTTAGTATTGCTTATTTCAACACTTACTAAATAAAAATAAATGATTGTAAAAATGGATGAGTACCTGACAGAAACCGCAGTATATACATTTCGTCATATCAATGTCGTAACGCGTGGTTCTGCGAGAGCCATCTTTGCGTTCCTCAGCTTCAATGGTAATAGCCTAAAATAAATTTGATGGCTAAGTCAAGAAAGGCTTTCAAAATATGCTTCTTAAAAGGTAATTTTAAATTGGAAGCGACAGTTTAAATGGTATATATATACTAGCTGTTCCCCGCGACTTCGCCCGCGTGTAATTTAGGGTTTTATTTATGTTGCGCGGAACCCTAATTCTTTTTCTAAAAAAATATAAGTAGCTAAGTTACTCCTTATAACTTCAGCTATCTGCCAGTGAAATCTGTCTCGTCGAAATCGGTCCAGCCGTTTCGGAGATTAGCCGGAACAAACCGACAGACTTACAAAGAGACACTTCAATTTTATTTATTTGTATAGATGTATAGAAGTACGGATTACAAACTCTGAACATCTTGAGTTTAAATCAGGCATTTGAATACTGTGGTGTACTCTTAGAACAAACATTTGAAGCATACCTACGAGAGTAATGTTAACAGTGCGACTAGTTTTCTTTTTTTATTTTGAAAAATTAACAAATAATTTGTCTGTGACTAATTGTAGGTTTGGTTTTTGGTCAAGAGAATTAATTTTATCAGGTATAGAAATGTTGTTGGTTTGCAGAGGATTCGTTCAGACATAGCAATTTACCATCTAAGGCTTTATTGCAGTAAAAAATACAGAAAAATCAATAATATAATTACATACAAATGCACACACACAGAGAAATTCTATAGAAAAAAGTATAATTGGAATCTCTGGACCTCAATGCCAAGAAGATACCGTATGTACCAAGTTTCAAACAGGAAACTAGTATATGACTGTTTGTTCTCATTGTGTTTGTTAAAAAAAGTCTGGTGGTGGAGCTTCTTCAAAGGTACAAGACCTCTACGCAACTGATTGACAATTGTTTTTTATTATGGTTTAATCCATAGATTACCTCCTAATAGATTCCGCATACAGGGCCACAAACGCGCGCAACACATACTTGCTGTAGCTAGCATACGAAGCGAAGCTAAGAATCACGACATCAGTATTGACTAAGTTTGTGATCCGTAGGCACGTCCGAGTTCTTGACAATTTAAAAATAGTTTTGTATCCAAAATACATTACAAATGGCTTCCTGTGCAGTGAAATGGTGTGACAAGTCAGCTAAGACATCCAGTTATCAAAAAGATGGCATAAATTTTAATTGGTAAGTAAATTCTATTCTTATCACGTTAACCTATTACAAATGCACCGGAGATCAACTTATACTGGTATATTAATGGTGCAAAGTGATAACTATTAAGCACCCGTTGATGTCTTTTTGAAATGTCCCTTTCACTCGTTACGTAAATTACAATAGTTGTCTTTGTCTAACAACAGTACGTGTATCGATAGTGTTGTGATTTATAAATCGATATTTGTTTGGTCATCGTTTAATTATTTTTTTCGAAGTCATATTATTTTATAAAAATAGTGACGTATCATTGTGGTACCTATATGTTATAGGTTTCCTAAATGCTCCGAAAGGAAAAAAGATGTGGATCGACGCAAATTGTCGAGGGGACGAATGGTTTCCCACCAAAAATAGTGTACTATGCTCAAAACACTTCACAGAAGACAATCTTCATAATATTATGAAAAATCGTATAAAGCTGTTGGATTCTTGCCAGTTTTGGTATGGACTTTTGCATTTTTTTTAAAGATTAGTTCTAACGTAGATTACACAATAATATCATTAAGTGGTTGAGTGAAATATGATATTTAGGTAAATGTTACACGTCGAAATCAAGCAATTTTGAACGGATTTATAAATCATAAAACTTGTAAAAGTTATAATGTGATTATTGTTTTGACTTGGTATTTAGTGTTACATGAACTTCAGTATTATCTTATTATAATTATTAAGTACATCTAAATTTGGAAGACGTGCCGTATGGTGTATTAATTAATAATACTATATCGGTAATGTTTTAAAAGAAACGAATATGTATTTCTGATTTAGATTACTGGGTCACCGCTGAAAGACGCGAAAAACCCGCCAACACCTAAAAATCAGAGTCATTGCTTAGAAACGCCTACAAAACAAAAAAGAAAATTTTCTCCTATACCTGATACGCCATCGCATTTCATACTCCAGTTAAAAACGTCTTTGTAGAAGAATCATCGAATTAACCAACGTAATGAACAAAAAAGATAAAAAAGTTAAAAAGTTAAGTGATTCCAACAGAAGACTAAAAACACAAATAGTTTCTTTGAAGTCATTATTGGTAGAATTAGAAAACAAAAATTCATTAGCAGCGGAAAACAAAAATTCATTCGCAGCGGAAAACAATGACGCATTAAGTTCCTTAGAAAAATCAAAATCTAGAAAATCAGGCAAAATTGTTAGAAAAAAATATTCACCACAATTAAGAGCTTTTGCACTCACCATAAATTACTCAGCTAGGCTTATAATTATGTACGCAAAACATTTAATACTTCTTTACCTTCTGTAAAACACTAGGAAAGTTTGTAGTTTTAACACAATCTTAAGCTTAATTATAAATAATAATTATAATAAAATTATTATTACTTTTATTATATATATATATATATATATATATATATATATATATATATATATATATAATAAAAGTAATAAATATAAATAAATAAGCAGTTTTGTTAATGATGATATTTTTCATGAAATAAAAAAATCACCAATTCGATCACGAAAGTTGTAATCATGTCATTGATTTAGCTAAGAGTGGTATGAAAAAATACATAGACATACTCGTAAGATTACTCTACTCATCCAAGAAGACAGATCCTAAGAATTCTGTGAGACAATTTTATACTAAGATTATCCATTTTAAAAATCAGTCAAATATATATATTTATAAATTAAATGTACAAATCTATGTATACAATGTTTAATTTTTTAATAAACATCAAATAAAAATTTATCAATATATTTATTTATCATTATCTATTATCATCATCAATAATCAATAAATCCCAAATTTATCGATCAATGTCCCAACCCTGTTCCATCACTATGGTTTGGTACATTCTAAGTTTGACCTTTAAATATCCAATCACAGCGCATTTGCCACGTCCCCCGCAACCCTTGCATAGGGCCAAATTTGGTGAACTCGAAACAGAACAAATATTCAATGATGCGGTATCTATTAGGATGTAATCTATGGTTTAATCCCTTCTATGGGAGAACTTCATATCCTGTAGTGAATTATTAAAACTGTATGCACAATCAACAGATAATTTTAAAGAAAATATTTACAACAAACCTGAGCTGGGCAAATGGCCTCACAGAGCTTGCAAGCAATGCACCTTTCCTCTCCAGATGGATACCTACGGAGTGCATGTTCACCTCGGAATCTGGGTGAAAGAGGTCCTTTCTCAAATGGATAGTTGATTGTTGCTGGCTCCTGAAATGTGATAACAAATAGAGGAGTGACCCAAGCAATGTTTACCTTACCAAATGATGATACAGTGAATGCTTCCTACTAATTCGATTTTTCAGTTGCAGATTGGCTGTTTTAACAAACAACAAAAAAAGGAGGAAGGTCTCAATTAGACTGTATTTTATTATATCTTTTTTCTTCAGAACTTTTTTCTAGGTGAACCATTTTTGATGATTCTTTTTTATTTGAAAGTGCTCCTCATGTGGTCCTATATAAATTTGATCAAAATCTGACCAGTGGTTTTTGAGTTATCCTTAAGACTTCTGACTACATACATTGATGATGTTTCATTTTATTTGGTTTGAAGTATTAAAGTTGGTTGCACAAAATGTTTAATTTTACCACTTGTTATAATGTATGCTTTAGCTTTGCTATTTTTTTTATTTAATAAGATTTTTTGAAACTAGTATTAGATGTTAACCTTTTAAGAAATATGGACATATCCTTCTTAAACACAATAATTTGCATGATATGATATGATATGATGAAAGAAAAAAATTACTTGCGTTGGCAAGTAATTTGATGTGTGCAGAGCACTTCATATTGATTATGATGAACCCATCACAAGTCTATGACATTTGTTAGGGCAATTTCAAATGACATGTGATAGAGCTACGCTGCAGCTATATTGTGACACTAATGGGTCAGCTTGACCAGGGATGGACCAAGCTCTCACAGCATAAAATAGCAGCTCTATACTGTTATGTTTCATATGATGGGTGTAGAGAATTGGAGACGCTTATTACTGATAATGAGGTATTTCATCTTAGTCCTCAGGGGATGAGAACACATCTGCATTTGGATTCTTAATTGAGGATAAATGTAGATGTCCAAAGGCCACAGCAGCCGCTTATCATTAGGTGGACTGTGTGCTTATCACACTTATTCTATAAAAAAAAGTCCATTGCTAGAATCTTGCTCCCCTTGTCCTCCTCCTGTACCCCATGGTGCATGAGTAGAAACTGTACATACAAAATTATGCTAAGGATTGAAATTTTTAATGTTTTTTTATAGTTTCTCTTGCTTGTTAGTTTACACAATTTCATTAAAATTCAACTCTCATACATAAACACAACTAAATCAATAATATAATATACTTATGTTTAGTTCCTAATATGCATACTTGTTCGCGTCAAATACTGGTTGTCGGTATCGACTTCTAGGGGGCGCGCGGCTCTGGGCGATACCGGTTTGAAGTTCGGCCGAGCGTGGCAAGTAGCGCGCGGGTCGCGAGCGTAAAGGCGAAAGAGTCGTCTGTCAGCTGTGCTTGGAACAGCACGCTGTCATTTTTGTCGGGAACTCGGAATAATTCGGCGCGGCCAGTAAATACAGTCTACCATTGTGGCGCGCATTCCTGCTGGAGAGTTTCTCAGGGACTCATTGTGTCTGACTCAGAATCTGCATAAGTGCATTCGGCAATATTAGCTAGTGCGGCCTCTGATATTCTAGAACTAACTGTTGCGACGCGAAACGGTAGTGACCTTTGATCCGTAAACTCCGTGTGAGTTTTGTGCGTTAACCTTATAACCCGCGATAGTTAGTGGCTTCTGTAAGTTAGTAAATCGTACGATAGAGTTAATTGACTGTCATCGTGACGAACGAGGAAAGTGACTGTGGTCCGGCGCCGAAGCAGTCTGAAGCGGTGCAGCATTTTGGAGCAGCCTGGAACTCGGCAGCGGCTGGTCGCCTATGCTTGACAAGGCCCCACACATTCACACCTCACTGTACACTACTCGCCATCCACTATTACACACACTCACGGCCTGCCCAAGCCTTGGTGCGAAGTTAGCTTCGGATAATGGTAAGTACTATGTCTTTCTAGCGTCCTCCCATCTGGTTTATTGTAATTAGGAATTTCCACGTGGCCATATTCTGGCCCCGTCCCTCTGCTTACTACTCATGGGCCCTAATCCCATCAGCCTTGGTTGGGGCAGCTAGGGGCGTGTACAATACTATATTTTTGTTTTATAGAGAGACACATTAAAGTAGCAGCTCCAATAATAATAATGATTGTATTTTGTGGGTGGTGGTGTTGGATCTTTAATTAGTTAAGCAGTTTTTATGTTTAGATTAATGTACTTTATAATTATTATATACATGTGTCCCAGAACTTGACGTCAAGCCAGAATCGCTCACACTTCGTCAATTGGTTCCCTCAGTTTCACTCAAACTAGAATCTTAAGTAACAGGCTTGAGGAAAGCCTTGGGGTACACAAAAATCATTTTAAATTCAATTAATTTACAGCAGGGTTTATTTAAAAAAAAATCTGTAATTTAACAAATAACCTTGCAAGTGTTTTGGAATCCTTATTAAAAGCGCCAACTCTTAGAGTTACTTGCCAAACTCGTGTAGTACATTTGTTTTCAGTACAGTCATTTAAATCTGGGCAAAGTATTAATTTTAAATACTTGGTTGGGAGAAAAATTAAATTTCCTTCTGGACTGGGGAGTAGTTGGCTGTAAATTTTAAGCAACAATTTTCACATTCATTATTTAGGATTACATAATAAAAAGAAAATTTAAAAAAAAAAAGAAAATTTGTAGCAACAGGAGTTAAAAGACTATCACAGGTTGTAGATTTTCTCGATTTTTTTTATAAATACCTGTAATTTTGTAAATTTTTTTTTGTGATTTATTATGCAATCAGTCGATGGACTATGAGCAGATTAGTTGTAGGACAGATTGGCGTGCAGAGAAAACTTCCCCAGCGGAAAGCACTCCATAAGTCTCTGCTATACATTGTCAAGTATATGCCTTCTTTTTAAATGACAAATCACTTGTGGAATTGTCAACTGCCATGCTAATTGATTTGGATGGTTGCTAAGTCTTGTTTTGTAGTTGCAGCTGTAGCGCCTAACTTCGTCTTAACTGAGTTTATTTTAAGGTGTTCATGGATTTCAGATATTCTTATGAACCATGGTGCGTTTGAAAGTTGTGTAAGTATGTAGTTTTGGGTTCTTTGAATGATTTCAATGTTGGAGTCACATGTTGATTCCCAAAGTTGTATGCCGTATGTCCATATCAGTTTTATAATGGTGTTATATAGCAGGAACTTATTGTCTAAGGAAAGTCTGGAATTCCTTGCGAGCATCCAATACAGTCCTCTGTATCTATGGTAGATCTCATCCCTTTTGGTTTGGATGTGCTTCTTCCAAGTGAGCCTTCTATCCAAGTACATGCCCAAGTACCTAACGTTGTCACTTTGCGAAAGCCAACGCAACGAAGTAGCCAACGCAAATTATTCCATTAAACAAAATTGTGAGAAACACAATACCTTTTTTGGGTAATTCTGACAGTACTTTTTTGTCTATTAGATCAAAGCCAGGAGCTTTCTTGGCATCCATACGATTTATTATATTAATAATCTCTCTTGGGTTAGTTGGTGCAATGGGCAGATCCAATTGAAAAGATTGACCAAGGACATCTTCAATATCTGTTTCATCACTATTAGGATCAGTTTCATTTGGCGTGAATATCTGGGCCAAGTGATCTCCAAAAACATCGGCTTTTTGTTGTTGGCTTCTTGCCCATAAACTGCCCTCCAGTCTGATTGGTGGCTTGGGGTTTATAGGCTGATTGAAATGTTTACAAGTGCAATAAAGGGAATAATTAGTGGCACTTGTGGCTGTCAACGATTCCAGGAAGGATTCTGTTGAAGTATCATTCCCTTTAGTCATGATGTCTTTAATTGCTTTATTAAGCGCTGTTGTCTTCTGGATGTCTACTATTGTGCCATACCCTACGTAGCCTTTTTTTTCAATAAGTTTGATTTTGGATGGAACTGTATTGCGTCTCAGTGAATAGTTGGAGATTTCAGGAGTACACCTCCAATAAGCTGACTGCACTGTAGTCATAAACTTAGTAGTAGCATTGTCAATGTCTTCCTCAGATTTTAGTGGCATTTGTAGTTGAAGCTCATAATTGACTATACTACGAAATGCTTCCCAGTCCGCTCCATAGTAATAAACACTGGAATATGATTAGAAGAACCATCTAATGTTGAACTGATTGTGAATAAGAGTCCATGCCTCTAGAAACAAAGAAGTCTAGGACATCAGACAGTCTAGGACATAGGCAGTAGGCCAATGTGTAGGTTCTGGTGTTGCAAGAGTTGTGAGATAGTTCTTATTCAAACTCTTTTTTAGCTCTCTTCCTCGACCTTTTTTTTATATTTTTATGTTAACTACTATGATTTGACCTATCACCCGATTCCAGCTTGAGGTCGACTTTTGGGCCATTCTGTATATCAATTTGTTACTTTAAAGAAAAATAAATAATTCCTCTTTCTAGCCCTTGGAGCTGATACCTTATCATGTAAATTAACACAACCAGCTCAAAGTATAAAACACTATGCTTTGAGCTGGTTGATAATGTAAATTTAGACATTGCATAAACTTTTTACTAACCTTGAAAATATGAGCTAGAGTGACAGCAAAACCACGGGCTAGTTCTGTCCAAAAAATTGTTTGAGCCGCCCTATTGGACATTTCTTTGAACGACATATCAGGATCTTCTGCATTAACATATTTGTATCCAGGTACATTAGGTGGGTAAACCTTTTCTACTTTGCCCTCTTGGTTCGATGTGCTGTACTGGGCATGACGGAACAACAAACCACTAGCTCCTGAAGCACGAGCTAAAATAATATTTTTCTTCTGAATTTCAGGTTTTTAACAATAAATGATCTTAAAGAGATGTAGAAATATATAAAATGTGATTAACATTTTTATTTTGTATAAAATTGAATCACCTATAGACTACAACGAATACAAGATGCAATTAGGTTATAAACAAAAGTTGCGTAACCATTCAAATATAACAAAACATTAAATTGCAATGTAGATAATACTTATAAAAAATATAATTTAATCAATTTATGTTTACCTCGCGTTGATACAGAAAATACTTTAGCAAGGGACATTTTTTTAAAAGTCTCAGGACTTTCACTGAAGTCGCTGAAATGTCAAGTGTTAAGTAAGCAAACTGTCAAGTGTCAATGTCATATCACTATCATAAACCAGAAATATTTTTGTTATTATGATTGGTCAATTCAGGAAAGCAGAGGTCATAAACCTTACAGCATATTCTGATTTTCTTTTTTTATATTCTTCACAATATTCTGATGATGCATGTATTGCAAAGTTCTTGAGAGAATTCGACAATAGTTAACGCCCTTGTTACATAGTTTTTACTAATAGTTTAATAGTACAGACATTGAATACGCAAATTAGTACTACTTTTACGTATCGAAATAAAAACCATATTTTAAAGGATAAAACAGGAGTAGCAACCCGCCAGTGGTCAAGTTACCGCTAAAACTCTAAGCAAAAAGAATGTAGCTGTTCTTGTTGTTGTTACGACTCGCTCATTAAAGAAAGTAAAGAGATCATACATACGCATACATTATGCTAAATTATGTTGATATGTCACATTGCGAAGTCATTGTGAAATTTCAGTGACACCTTAACCCAGCATACAGCTGTTGATAAAGATAGTATAACATGACACCGGAGCGAAAATAAAGAAATTTATATTACCATAGAAACTTTTATTACATTGTTCCACTTTCATAGTTTACATGCACAAACATTTAATACACAGAATCGCACCACTTTTACGTATTAAAGTCCACTACAAACCATTATTTAAAAGAAAATTAAAGAAAATCAATCCGCTAATGATTAAGTTCCAATCAAAACATCACCAAACAGTATGGTAAGTTATAGTGCCATCAACTTATCTGTTCAATTGGACAAAATTGGAACTAAGACTTTTATAAATGACATTTCGATGTCAGATTGTATAAAGTGCAAATAAAATGCCTAAAGCTCTTAAATGTGTTGCGCAGCAGATTATCCTACGTTTAGTTAAGTTTTTTTTTTATGAAAGAAGAGAAATGTTTACAAGCTCCAATTATACCATTCAAAAACCTGTACAAATGCGTTACTGCTGTGACAGGTTAGTCTTGCCAGATATGGAAAAATAAAATCACAAAATAATGTACTTGTGAATCATATCAGCGAGTACATCTTACATGTGGAATTCTGGAGTTCGGCTGCTCGAACTCCGAGATCATGACCACAATTACTCTTATAAAATATATAATACTTTAACTGTTGAATTGTCAAGGAAAACATCGTGTGGAAACGTGCATGCTTGAGAGTTCTTCAAAATGATCTCAAGTGCGCACTTGGCCAGCGTGGTGGACTATGGTCTAAAACCCTCTTGTGCTCATTAGTGAGCCGGCAATAACTTGAGACTATGATGATGATGAACTGTTAAATTCTGCATAATAATTATGTATGACAGACAGTTATGAAGGTAGGTAAATTGTACGTTCATTGTTCTATACTTACAAATATGTTATGAATATGTAGTCACCTTTTACCGCGGTTTTCTTAAAAGAATCATCGAAATCGGTTCACCCAGTAAAAAATTATGAGGTAATACATTAAAAAAACATACAGTCGAATTGAGTACCGTCTCCTTTTTGAAGTCGGTAGAAAACATAACAGTATCTAGAGATTTAATAGCTTCCACGAATGATTGATTGCTGAATGTTTCCACAAGATAAGGTGTCTGTCTGCTTAGGCACCTTGAGGTACCATCGCCAACTGTCAGCTGTCTGCTGTCTCAAGTTGCCTTTATAATCTCCCAAGGGCTGCACAATGTGACGCATCAACATATTGTGAAGCAGTGTACTATGAAAGATAATTATACATTGTAATTTCAGGCTCAGAAGGGCTAGAACCTAAAGCCGTAAAGCCAGTTATAAAGAAATCATATTCGATCATAGTATTCAAAGAGAATATAATTACTAAGTTTAATAGTATAGTACTCTCTAAAACGAAAGCACCATACGCAATCGTAAAAAATAGTGGTTATATCAATTATAATTTTATTATTATGTGGTATCTATAAAGTTTTCTCATCTGGTTGGGAAATATAAATACATAATTGTAAATAATCATGGTAAACATACATAAATATCAATAAAATAAAATAAATACAAAAAAATACATAAGTATATAAAAACCCAACCAGATGGAAGCCCTCGGCAGGGGAGACCAAACGGCCAAAGGTTAGGGGGAAAGGGAAAGAAACTGGCGGACGATGCGGGCGGTATCGAGGAGCACCGCCTTCTGCATTTGAGCTTGGAGCGATCCGTCACGGAGTCGCCTTAGATGACACGAGAGGCTGATTGGAATTAACCCATTCGCAGAGACGACTACAGGTATAATTTCGGCCGGCAGACCACCGCACATGTCGGTCACCTCGTGAGCCAGGTCCAGATATTTTGTCAGCTTATCTGTTTCGGCTTTCACAAGGTTCTCGTTATAAGGAATGGTAATGTCGATCAAACATATCCTTGACTGTGCCCGGTCCATCAGAACAATATCAGGCTTATTCGCAAGAATAGTCCTGTCTGTGATGATGGCCCGGTCCCAGTAGAGCCTGGGGTGGTCATTTTCGAGTACGACTTCCGGCAAGTACTTATAATACGGCAGTTTCCGATCCACGAGACCGTATTTCAGAGCGAGTTCCTGGTGTAGAATCCTGACTACTAAGTTGTGCCTGTGCAAATACTCAGAGTTAGAAAGCGCCGAACAACCGGAGATGACATGCCTAAGTGACTCACCAGGATGGCGACAAGCTTGACAGACGTCGACGGTGCCATCCTTTAGGATGTATCTCCGATAATTGTTGGTCTTAATAACCTGGTCCTGTATCGCACAGACAAAACCCTCGGTTTTCCCCAAAGAGGTAACCGAAACGTAGCCAGTGGAGGGAGGCGACTGTGTCTATTATTATTATGGGGTATTTGTATAGTTTTCTCATCTGGTTGGGCTGTATAAATATATAATTGTAAATGAAAATGATAAACTTACATAAATATCAATAAAATAAAATAAATACATAAAAATTACATAAATATATAAAAACCCAACCAGATGGAAGCCCTCGGCAGGGGAGACCAAACGGCCGAGGGTTAGGGAGAAAGGGAAAGAAACCGGCGGACGATGCGGGCGGTATCGAGGAGCACCGCCTTCTGCATTTGAGCTTGGAGCGATCCGTCACGGAGTCCCAGTCGCCTCAGATGACCCGAGATATTATTATTATTATTATAGTTTTTAATATTGTATATAATTGAATAGAATTATTATTATATTCTCAAATATATGTAATAATCTATGGATTCTATACTCTTTGAGAAACCGTATACGAACCATAGACTTTGTATATGAATATCATAGACTTAGAATAATATACTATTCTATGTCTATGATATGAACCGTATACATACGTCAAAACATTCAAGTGACGTTTACAATTACAAGTTTTTGTTGGTTGTTGATGCAAAGGAAAAGGAACATTTTGTTGGTGTGTCGTATACTGCGAAAATTCATCACACAGAATGGGAGACTCGCCAGCTTCAGAGGTAGAGTCAAGTAAAAGCAGTCCTAGGAAGGAGGTAAACTCTGAACTGGTAAAAATTTTGTAACACGTCATATTGAGTGATTTATTATGGTTGCTTATACTGACTTTGTTATCAGGACCGGCGTCCTTTCGGTGGGTTGGAGTTTCAAGTTTCCGAAGTAGTTGGAAGACTAGAGGCTGTGGTGAATGCTCAAGATGCTCCTGAAGAAGAAGAAAAACCGGAACCGCGTAAAATGAGTACCGGTTTCTTTGAACCCGAAGAAAGTTCTATGGATGAAATTCTCAAAATTTTGGAAGATTTGGTGGTCAAAACCGACCCTAATTGTGAAAGCATTGAGCCACCACTTTTACCTACTGATGCAGTGACACGTGCAGCTGTTCTTTCTCACAGTATATCAGCCCTGTTTGCTAGACTGGAGAGAAGCCATGCTGTTAGACTTGGTGCTCATATTGCTAGCGAAACGACACGCTGGATGGCACACATGTTTAGGTTGGTAAAAATTATTTATAATTATAGCCTTTCAAGCTATCTGAGGCAAGTGCTGCTCACAATGGACTACTCCACTTAAATGCAGAAGGCAGTTTTCTTTTTTCCTATACCCTCTGACATTTGGTTTTTCCTAGCCTAAAGTTTCCATATAGTTGGGTTTTGTTAATAGTTTACTAGGCATTATTTTTAATCTTATTTATTATTAATATATTATTATATTTAATTTTATTTCACCATGCTCTATAGTGATGTAAATAGAGATTTATCCTAATGTCTTAAAAATAAATGAGAGAGCCTTTTCAATAATTGTATAAGATACATCTACAGTTTAATTTTACCATATCTTATATGATGCAAAGCTAAAATTACTTATTATTTAATAAAGATTTAGCTCCTAAACTATACCTCTATTTTATTAGATTTGAATTCTTCATCCTATCTTAAAAAGGGGTTCATTTTTCTATGTTCTGCTAATGGCCCATTAAATGGACTGTAGATTGTCCTCAATACAGTACAGGATGCTTTACATAATATTTTACTATACTGGCTACACTTCTTTAATGCCATTACCTGAAGGCAAATGACACCTTTCATTTTAATTTATTTATGTATATGTTAGAAGATCACACTCATCTCTGCACAAGCTTGCAACAAGTTGGTTCTTAAAATATCTTCACTTTAACAGAATATTTATATATCTTAATACTTTAAATTAACAATTCCTGTACTGTTTCTCAGTAACAGTTCTAACAAATTTAATTCTTAATTCATTCAAGACACCAAGTGCAGGTATGTGATCGTAAGTGGTCTGCTAGGTAGTGGGCTTTTGTCCATGTTCATCTATGATGATACTAATTTACCCAAGCTTGTGGGAGCTGTTTACCTGATCTGCCTTCTGTGTTAGGAGTAGACTTGAACTGCTTATGATTACTGGCCATCAGGTGGAATACAAGCAATGTAAGGTCATAGTCATTAGTAATGTAATTATTTCC